GGCCATGGAAATAGAGGAAAAGGTAAGTGAGGTGCTCCAGTGAGGCAGCAAGACCTGTCCTGGGGCACCTGGCACTCAGCCAGAGGTTGGGTACTGCCTGGGCACGTGCCAGGGCGCTGGTAACACCGACCCTGGTGTGCGGCCAGGTCAAAGAAGCAAAAGTCACCGAGACGCAAACAAACGTCGCTAGAGAGACCTACCGTCCGGTGGCAGAGCGAGCGTCGCTGCTATACTTCATCCTGAGCGACCTCAACAAGATCAACCCCATCTACCAGTTCTCTCTCAAGGCAGGCGCGGAGCAAGGATGGGGTTGGGCTGGGGGCTCGTGGTGCCTCAGCTGGTACCGAGCCCCCCGCGGTGCAGGCGCTGAGCTGCCGCTGCATCTTCCCCAGGCGTTCCACGGGATCTTCGAGAAAGCCATCGAGCGCGCGACGCCCAGCGATGACATCAAGGAAAGGGTGATGAACCTGACGGACGAGATCACCTACTCGGTCTATGTGTATACAGCACAGGGGCTCTTTGAGAGAGACAAACTCATTTTCCTGGCCCAGGTTGCCTTCCAGGTACTGCGCACGGGTCTGGGCTGTCTGTGGTATCTTCCTGTACGTGAGTTTGTGTGGGTTTAGGCAGGCTGTTCTCTTACTTGCGCGCTGCTGCTGGATGCTCAGCAGTGTCGCCCCTGAGGTGCAGCCCTCGCGCAGGGGCTGTGTGTGCCGGGGCAGTGGCAAAGCTGCGCTCTCACCTTGCCAGGTCCTCATCCTCAAGAAAGAACTGAACCCCGCAGAGCTGGACTTCCTGCTGCGCTTCCCTTCCAAGACCGGCGTCACGTCCCCCGTGGACTTCCTGCAGCACCGCTGCTGGGGCGCCATCAAGGTTGGTCGCCCGCTGTGCCGAGGCGACGGCAGCGCGGCGGGTGCGGGGTCACCTGCAGCACCTCCAAGTGGAGGGTCCCCTCCATCCCTAGGGTCCCCGAGAGCCCAGCAGTGATCTGTCCCCTCTCTGTGGGACCTGAAGGTGCTCTCAGAAATGGAGGAGTTCAGGAACTTGGACAGTGACATTGAGGGCTCAGCAAAGCGATGGAAGAAGTTTGTGGAGTCAGAGTTGCCAGAGAAGGAGGTGTTCCCCAAGGAGTGGAAGAACAAGTCTGCGCTGCAGAAGCTGTGCATGCTGCGGTGCATGCGGCCAGACAGGATGACCTACGCCATCAGGTGCTGTCCTGGCCAGAGCCCCGCGGCATCACCACACCGGCTGAGCCGTGACCATGCTTGGTCCTAACTCACATTATGGGTTTATTTTTCTGTAGGGCCTTTGTGAAAGAGAAGATGGGGAGCAAGTATGTGGAAGGAAGGAGCGTTGAGCTTGCCAAGGTGTACAAGGAGAGCAGCCCCTCCACGCCGCTCTTCTTCATTCTCTCCCCTGGTGTCGACCCCCTGAAAGACGTGGAGGCCCTGGGTGAGCCACTGCCCCCTCCTCACCAGCACTGGCCCTCAGTGGCTGCTGCGGTTGTGGCGTGAGCCACGAGCGGCCAGCGCGGCCCCTCCGTGTACCGACAGCACCAAGAAAGGGTCTCAGGTTGTGGTGGTTTCCTCCCCTCCCTAGGCAGAAAACTGAACTTCACCATCGAAAATGGGAGGATCCACAACGTGTCACTGGGGCAGGGCCAGGAACCGATGGCAGAAAGAGCCCTGGAGGTGGCAGCTGAGCAGGGGCACTGGGTCATCCTGCAGGTAGGTGGTGAGCGCTGCTGCCAGCCATGGCTCAGAGTGCCCCTGGGCTCTCCCATCCCTGGTGTTCCCACTGGCGCCAGTGGAGTACGCGGGATGGCTGAAGCTCAGGCTCCCATCCCGGTGGATTTGCCATCATGCAGAGCCGCGGTCTCAGCCCACGCAGCCACTGGGTCCAGGCTTGTCTGAGTGGTACAGGAGAATTTCTGTTGCAGAACATCCACCTGGTGGCCCGGTGGCTGCGCACGCTGGATAAGAGAGTGGAGCAGTACAGCACAGGCAGCCACAACGACTACCGGCTGTTCATGAGCGCCGAGCCGGCCCCCACCCCCGAGTCCCACATCATCCCGCAGGGGCTGCTGGAAAACTCCATCAAGATCACCAACGAGCCGCCGACGGGCATATTCGCCAACCTGCACCAAGCCCTCGACCTCTTCACACAGGTACCCGCCACTGCACGCAGCTGCCAGGTCTGTGTAGGGCTCACCCTGGCCCTGGTACCACGGGCTGAGCATCAGCATGGCCATCGCTGCAGGCACAGCAGCTGGCCCGCCCCAGCACATCCTCCTGTGTGCCCAGAGCCCCACCTGTGGGGATGTGATTTGGGAGTAACCAGAGCTGACCCCAGGCTCCTGAACCAGGGAGGGTGCTGGATGGCTCGTGCCTTTCCCAAGGCTGGATGTCGAGCTGCTGCAGCTTGGTGCCATGAGCGAGCTGCCGGCACTGTCAGCAGGGGCGGGTCTATGTATATGTGTGTGTCTGTAGTCCTAAGCTGCTTATAAACAAATGAGTGCAAAAATTAACAAATCAGCAAGTCTTTAAAAGGTAACTTCATGTTTATTTATTTAATAAACAACCATCAGATTCCTTTGTCCTCCTCTCTACAGGGATATTTACTCACTTGCCAATCCCCTCTCCCTTTCATTCCACTGCAGGATACCTTGGAGATGTGCACCAAAGAAATCGAGTTCAAACGCATCTTGTTTGCACTCTGTTACTTCCACGCAGTGGTGGCTGAACGGCGCAAGTTTGGTGCCCAGGGCTGGAACAGACCTTACCCCTTCAACAGCGGGGACCTGACCATATCCATTAACATCCTGTTCAACTATCTGGAGGCCAACCCCAAGGTAAGGGGCTGACAAAGACACTGTACCCCAGCACAAAACACACCATGACAATCAACCCTTCTTAAAATGTCAGCAGAGAAGGTGCAGAGTCCTCCTGGGCTGGGTTCAGCACCAGGTGGGGACAAGGGCTCGCTCTGGCTGGTGCCTCAGTGGCTGGTTGGGTTTGTTTCGGTATTTTTAAATGACATTTCACCCAAAAGGCAAAGCCTGCCCCAAGAATGAGGATGCAATGAGTAGGACTGAGGTCTCACCTTCAGCAGAGTCCTGCTTTCCCTTGGCCTTACAGACATGATCAACACTGATCTGAATAAGGATGGGATAATGGGTTCAAAGTATGGATGGCCCAGGACAAGGTGGTATCTGTGGTTGAACACAAGAGACACCCAAGACAAGGTCCCCTGTCTTGCCCCCTTCACTTGGTCAATGAGACCCTGTGGTCCAGGGTCCATCGGTTCCCTGGACACTGGACAGATCATTCCAAGAGCTCTGTGGCCCTGCAGCACGTGTGCAGCCACAAGAATCCGATGGTGAGCTGCTCCCTGTAGGTGCCGTGGGACGATCTCCGGTACCTCTTTGGTGAAATCATGTACGGGGGGCACATCACGGATGACTGGGACCGCCGGCTGTGCCGCACGTACCTCAGCGAGTACATCCGCGTGGAGATGCTGGACGGGGAAGTGTACTTGGCTCCAGGGTTCCTGGTCCCTCCCAGCTTGGATTACAAGGTAAGATCAGCACTGCCGTTTGCTGTGGAAACCCACTGCTCGGGTAAGCGTTCACTAGTCAAGAGTTCCCTCATGCTATAACCAAAGGGGAGGGGAGAGGGAAAAATAGCGGAAACATGTAAAATAGCTGCAAAACTAATTCCTGGGGCTGGGAAAGTGAAAAACTGAGGTAAGAGGTGAGTGAAAAACCACCCTGAATAAGAACCACCAGGAGCTGTGCCCCCACCACGGCACCACGGTGCCACGTTCCCAAGGCTGGAGCCACTCAACTCCTTTGTCCGGATGCGCTAAAGTAACACCGGTGTTGCCCTGTGTGCAGGGCTACCACGCGTACATCGATGCGAACCTGCCCCCCGAGAGCCCCTGCCTGTATGGGCTGCACCCCAACGCGGAGATCGGCTTCCTCACCGTCACCTCCGACAGGCTCTTCCACACCGTTCTGGAGATGCAGCCCAAGGAGTCGGACGCGGGAGGTGGCGTGGGCAGCTCCCGCGAGGAAAAGGCAAGTGGAGCTTCTGCCTCCTTACAGTAAGTGATGGCGATTCCGAGTGCAGGTGGGGAGCACAGACACTCACACAACGGATGGGGAATATGCCCTGTGGCAACAAGTGATTTCTTACCAGTGCAAGGCAGTACAGAGTGATCCCAGCTCAGTGCCTATTGCTGCAGAGCTCACAACAAATGCTGCAGTCCTGGCTCAGCAGGACATTGCTGTCCAGGTTTTATTTAAGTAACTTGGCTATCAAAAGAGCTGCAGCTCTTCAGGATCTAAGAGCAGTTAGTAAAGGAATAGAGTATTAGTAACAGAGGAGAAAGCACAGAAAAACATGCCGGCAGAACAGAAAAATCTTACTAAGGCTGTGGTCTGCTAATTGACAGCATTTCCCCTGCTCTTCCCAGGTGAAGTCAGTCCTTGATGAAATCATGGAGCGGCTGCCAGAGCCCTTCATCATGGCACAGCTCATGGCTAAAGCTGAGGAGAAGACCCCATACGTGGTGGTCGCCTTCCAGGAATGCGAAAGAATGAACTCCCTGATGCATGAGATGAGGCGCTCGCTGAAGGAGCTGGACCTGGGGCTCAAGGTACGCAGGAGGCCAAGCCCAGGAAGCCGCTCTCTCGGACGAAACATTCCCAGTTTGCAGCTGCATTTCAGACCCAGCACATCCCCCAGCTGCTGCCTTCAGCTAAAGCTGCCCCCGTGTGTCTCTTCTAAAGGGTGAGCTAACGATCACGGCCGACATGGAGGACTTGGCAAATGCACTCTTCTACGACACCGTTCCCGAGTCCTGGACCCGCTATGCCTACCCCTCTCTCCTCAGCTTAGGAGCCTGGTATGCAGACATGCTCCTGCGCATCAGGGTGAGCACCTTTCCTATGGAAGTTCAAGCTTAGAGAGCAAGCAGACACCACACAGGACCAGGGGTCACCTCCATCGGTGTACAGTGGTTGACTGCTTTATTTTTCAATATTAAGCCATTGGATTTACCTGCAGTGGCCTCTTACCCAAGAACAACAGCAGAGGTTTGAGAAGGGTTCCCCATTAGAGTATATCACCATTTCCAAAGAAAGAACATCGTTAACCCCGTCAGAGCTTTATATGCCTCAGAAGAAAAAAAATCATTCATAAAACCATCTATTTAAATGTACCTTTGCTAAAAAAATAACAGCAGCATCTCCTGCGAACCACGTGAAGGGTTCAGCTCCATTGCTGCAGAGGAGGCTGCCACTGATTCACTACTACCCACCTCCAGCCCCGTGTCCCCGGCTAGAAGATGCTAGACATTTGTGTAGGGGCCTGTGAAGCATCACCTCTGTCTGTCCCTGCTCCCAGCGCTGTTCTGCTCCTCAAAGCACACATTTCACTCTCTGCTAATTTTATTTTTCAGGAACTGGAAGTGTGGACAACAGACTTTGTGCTGCCTGCAACAGTGTGGCTGGCAGGATTCTTCAACCCCCAGTCCTTCCTCACGGCCATCATGCAGTCCATGGCCAGGAAAAATGAGTGGCCACTGGACAAGATGTGCCTCGCAGTGGACGTGACCACGAAAAACCATGAGGAGATAACAGCACCGCCCCGAGAAGGCTCCTACGTGCATGGATTGTTCATGGAAGGTAAAAGACTGCATCCTTTAGATGGCTGAGACCTGGAGAAAGGCCAGTGCAGCCTTAAAAATCCTTCAGGCTGTTGCTACTCACTGGTTTACTCCCATGTGCACAGCCCTTGGTATGCAGCAGAGCCTTGAGTCCAGGCTCACACTCTGAGTCCCGGGACACACCAGCTGAGGGCAGCACCCGCCCGGTCACAAACCAGACACTTGGGGTTTGGAAATTGAGTGTCATAAACCTGGGGACTGGGGTGGCTGAAGCTACATGGTTACTAAAGTAAATGTATTATATTGTATTTGATGTGAGAGCAAGACAAATCAGGAACCTCAGAACCTAAAATAATTCCTGCTAAAAAGCAAGGGGGAATGAGAGGGCAGTGGCAGCAGAGCACCAAAGGGGCCCATTTCACAGACAGCTTAGCATGGCTCCCACCACGGCCAAGTGCCACCCTGGGCCATGCACTGTTCATGCAAACCCATGCTGAGGGGATGAGTGGGGACAGAATTTATTTGCCATCCCACAGGTATAAGGCAAAATGCATTCATGAGTCCCAGGGAGATGAGAACATGTTCGTCCCAACCATGGCTGCAACTCCCTCCCTGACTGCTGCTACAGCAGCTCCTTCCCTCCCCCCAGCAGCTATGAGAGCACCCCACAGTGTCACAGGCAGGGCAGAGCCAGGACGCTGCCGCTGTGGTGTCATTGCAGGTGCGCGCTGGGACATCTCCTCGGGTACGATCGCAGACTCGCGGCTGAAGGAGCTGACGCCCATGATGCCAGTCATGCTCATCAGAGCCATCCCTGGGGACCGCGTGGACACCAAGAACATCTACGAATGTCCTGTCTATAAGACACGAACGCGAGGTCCCACCTACGTCTGGACCTTTAACCTGAAGACAAAAGAGAAAGCTGCTAAGTGGGTCCTTGCTGGTGTGGCTCTGCTCTTACAGAGCTGAAGTGGATCCTTTTACTTGCAAAAATAACTCAGTGTTGTGTAACTTAGGCTAAGGTTGATTGTACCAAAGTATTTTAGCAAAGTATCAATAAAGCCGTGCTGGGGCTGCTGTCATGGTGAACCTGCTCCTTCAGGACATGGGGTTTCTCCTGACGGATGCTGGGTTTCAATTGGTGGTTTCTGATAAAGTGCTGGTCGGGAGCCAGACCACTGGAGGAAACCAAACAGAACAACTGCAAGCAACTACCCCATCCCCTTCCTCCTCACAGCACTCTGTCTTCTGTACAGCACATTTTTATGGTTTCAGCCTCCCGCTCTCAGCAAGGGGGAAGCCTCCAAAATTCACATTAGCACCAAAGGTCCTCTCAGGCCTCTCCATAATTCGTGAAAGACACTCGTAACACATTGTAACATGTACATTAAAGGGGTCCCCAGAGATGGAGGGAAATATATGTAAATACAATGGGTGTGTGAACCCTCAGCATCAAGGACACAGACTGAAGTGCCAACTGCATGACCTGTGCACAGCACAGAGAGAAATCTAGGAGCAGTTCCAGGAAGCTCAGGAGGGCTCCAGTTAGTCAGTGGGTGGTTGAACAGCCAGGCACATCCAGGGCACTGTATGGAACAGACAAGGTAAAACAACTGCCCCTGTTAACCAACATCTACAGGGGAAAACAAAACAGGGATCAGATAAAAAGGTGATAATGCATTTTAAATATTCCAACATTGTTTTCTATTGAACACAATTCCTCCCCACACAACTCTGAAAGGGACATTTCAGAACTGGAAGTTTTATTCCTATGCATGGGAAATACCCTTGTAGGCTTCTCTTTCACTGACCCTTCCAGAAATTCCAGATGAAACCCGACAGAGACCTTGCACAATGATTCTAGTCAGAGGCAAGTACCTCAGAAAAGATGCCAGGTTTTTCCTCACATCATCCATATTTCCATCATGTGTACTTCCTAACTGCAGTCAGTGCAATATAAATTCCCCATAAGAATGGCAGAAAACTCACCCAAAGCAGCAACTTTTCTTCTTTCAAAAGAAATTCTTGATCAGAGGTGTTACCAGCTTCACCCACAGCTTCACGTAACGATTTGGCTGCTCAAATGTTGATGATGAGACTACACCTGAGCAGAGGTAAAGCTGCTCCTGCTCCTGTACAGGGAAAGAAACATCATCCCAGTGAATCCTAAGTGTTAAATCATGTAATGGCCTTTAGGAGGAAAAGTGAATACTCAGATAAAACTGGCCATGGCCCCTGCCAAGAAGGTGTATCATTTCTCTTCAAGCCTGCACATAAAGAGCCTCATTCCATGCAGCACAACTACACCACAGAGGGGCCAGCACAGGATCTGCCTTCGTATCTGCTGCCACAGCACATCCCCCCATGACTCTTAGTACACTCAATAATAAAACCTCAAGAATTAGCAACTTAAACTCCACAAAGAGCAAAGGCAGGAGGGTTTGCCTTGCTGTGCCCCACAGCTGCAGGAGAGCTGAGCTTCTGTTTCAGAAAGCTCCTGAGTCCCTCACTGCAATTGCCAGGAGAGGAAACCTGCCCATAGCCTTGAGACATGGTTTTGCAGCTCTTTCTAGACACAGCCCAAGCACCATGTTTCAACCGAAGGTGCAGAAGTGATTTCAACTGAATTACCAAAAACACTTTGGCTTCTCCCATGTGTACACAGTGCTGCTGGAGGAAATGAACTGTCACCATGATAATACACACTCACATCACACGTGAGAGCAGCTCTTTGATCAAAGGTAGAAGCGGTTCTCTTATCAAAAGCAGACAGGCTGAGAGGTACAGGCAAACAAAGAGCAGCCTGTAAATCTGTTCATAATCTGTTTCTCGTTAGCTAAGCTGTCACAATCAACAGAACAGGCTCTGCGCTGGGTATAAACTGAGAGTGGAGTAGGGAAGCAGTAACCAAGCAGTGGAGAGTAATACCACAAAGGTGAACCAACAACAGAAGGAAGACATGTGTGTGCCAAATCAGTCTGACTTTTGAATCTCCAAGTGCTCCAGCCAGCCCTGGTCTGAGGTCGTGCCCCATGGTCAGCCAGTGCAATGAGGTTGTCTGATCACAGGAAGAGAGACCAGTTCATTGAGGGAGCACCCAGAGACACCCAAGCCCAGAGCTCAGCAGCACTTTCCAGTGGAACTGGATGTTACATGGACAAAGTGATTTCATGGCAGCACCCCAGGAATGTATTAAGTCTTCTAAATAAAGATCACAGTACAGTAAACAAACAGCCAACCTCAAAATCAGCTTCCAGCAAATGGGAATGGTTTAAAGCCCTTTCAATGAGATCACTGCAGCACCGCCTGAGAAAATTCCTTTGTCATATTTTCATTGATTCTTCCCTTCCATTAGAAACAAGCAGAGGCAAGACATGAACTGAAATATTCGAGCAACTCTTCCAGTAATAGAATTGTTTTTGATTAGACAGACTCTGACTCATCCTGTGGAAGAGCCCTGATGCAACAGGGCAATTCCCATTGATCTTGAAGACAACTGTGCCTGCTTACGCCAGGGCTAGGCTTAACAGGATACACTTTTGAGATCCCTAAGTCACACACAGAAGAACCACACCAATTTGTTTTGAATCAGAACTCTACATGAGAAATACTTTGGACAGTCAGTTCCAGCGGAAGGTTCAGAGTCAAGACAGACAGGATTTAGAGAAGCAGCAAGTGCTGAGCAGTCCAAGTTGCCCAGTTAAAAATCATAATACTAAATAAAAAAAACCACACCAAACTGGGACACTGAGCACTAATCCACTGAAAAATGTTTGTTGTGGATGGATTTTCAGCAAAGAATGGCCACATTCCCAAGTCAGCAAGTGCCTACCTGGAGCTCAACATGAACTGAGGATGAAGTAGGTAAAGAGCAAAAGTAGCAGTAGCAAAAGTAGCAGTGCAAGCAAGATAAGAAGAAACTGGACTGTGCTAAGATACGAAATAGTGGACTGGTAGCAAATTTTAAAGGTTAAGTTCTCATAAGCTTATTGTTACTAGTTGCTGTGTGCTGCAGGAATATGTATCACAGCATAGTATACTGAGCTATTGTATATGTATTCAATCATCATACAACAAGCTATTGAACATGTATCTAATTATACTACAGTGAGCTATTGATGATGTATCCAAATATTATACAGCGAGCTATTGTAAATGTAACCGTAGTTGTGGTGTATTACAAGAAAATGTATCTGATTGTAATACAGCAAGCTATTGTAAGCCGAGGCAGAGAAACAGCATAAAAAGGATTGATACGCTATAATAAACGGCTTTGGTCTGACCCCATTGATCTCGGACTGAGTCCATAATTTTTCTGCGGCAGTTTGTGCCAAGACTGCCATATTATCATTCAAGATTATATTGCGTCATGTAATTTCATGGGCAATCCAACCAGACCAGAAACCCTCTTCTTGCAGAAGCTACACTAAAAGTCCGGCCTTTGCTCACCTCCTCAGAGCCACTCAAAAGCTAAAGGAAGGATTGGCTTTCATATTCCTACAAAGCAGTTCCCACATGCCCCAGAAACAAAACCCTCCACAAGTCCAAGATGAGCAATTCCAGGGGCCTGACCTCATACCCTCAAGCACAGTGAGACTTTGGCTGTGCCCAAACATTGGGGCTGAGGCCCAGGAACGTGCTGTGTGAGCAGCAAGGAGCAAGCACATCCTCCCTGCTTGCCATGGCTCAGCATCCAGTGCCTGAGCACTCCTGATGCTCGAGTTCACTGGGGACACATGTTCTTTCCCATTATTGTCTCCATTTCCCAGAAACAGGCACTTGCAGCAGGCATCTCATCAATAGTCACTTAACTGACAGCTCCTGAGATTTCCTCTGCTCAAGGACGTTTAGAATTATTGCAGCTGTAGGATTTTATTGCAACTGTGTCACCAGCATTCCCTGTGTGACAGGCAGCAGCACAACATCCCCGTCATCCCCCCAGGATGAGCCACTCACCTGGTGGAGCTGCTGCTGCAGAGCTTTGTTTTCGGTCACTATCGCGACCTGAGCTTCCAAGTCACGATGAACTGATCGATATCCAAAATTAGGAGAGCCAATGAGGGTGAGGCAGGGAAGATCACTTCCTGCCAGGTACAGCCAGAGGCCTGCAGGGAAAACAGGAGAGGAAAGGAAGCCTGGCAGACAAAGGATGTGACTGGGGCAGCTTCACACATGTGCTTAGAATGAGCCAAGCACATTAGATGACAGTCACCATGAAAGATCAGGACACAACAGGAGCTTCCTTGCAATGATCTTGCAAATCTTCATATGAACCTTGGAGGACCCTGGCACAGCTTGTGCTGTTCAAACATGGGTGCCCTTAGAGGGCTGCACCACACCCAGTGCCACCCTTGGGACACGTGCTCAGGAATGTACATACACTGCATGGGGGCCCCAAATAACCCAGAATAAGTCACCATCATCAAGTTACAGGTTGTTTTGCACCACAGCATATCCCAGAAATGCTGAAATGAGACAAACTGGGTTTCAGTGAAGCAAAACTGACACAGAGCACAGGGCAGGTCTGGACCAGCCCAGAGAGCAGCACGGTCAGTCACCCATTGACTGACCCCCTCCCAAAGCTGCACACGGCAGCGTATGAAGAGGCATCTCCTGCTCTGACAGGTGAATTCACATGAAATAAAGACTCGTACGAGAAGTGCAAACTATTGCACCCACTCACTTCCTGCGCAGCCACTGAAGATGAAATCACTCTTGCCAGGGTGCAGGACTCCCAAGCCCACTCACCACTGCAGCTCACACACGAATTCACCAGTGCAACAAAGGCAAGCGTGACACAACCCAGGACTCTCTTTTCCAGCACAAGATGGAAACACCACGCTGTTCTTAACACCCACTGCAGCACGGCAGGGATGCCACAGCAGAGCCAGGGCTGTTGCCCAGGAGAGCCCATACAGCCATTCCTGGGTATAAATGGACCCAAGGAGTGTTTGCTCTCCACTCAGCACAGCACAAGCACTTAGAACAGCATTGGGCACGTCCCTGATAGATGGCTTATCCCTACTGCAAGTCACACAAAGACTACAACAAAGAAACTGTGGCATAAAAACCACCTAGTCCTTAAAATAGCAGCAGGTTTCCTAACTCAACCCCAGAGCAGTTCCAAGAATGCCTTGAGTAAGACACTGCCGATTCACTGCTGGTTCCTGTAACCTCCTCCCAGCCCCCACATTGCAGTCAGCAGCATCGCTGCCACTTTCAGTTACATGTCCCAGCACAGCGCTGGCACTGGCCAAACCACAGGCACCACTGGCTCCTGCACAAGTCACCCCCCCCAGAGAGACTGGTTCTGACACGGGGGGCTTTGGGACACCCCACAAAGCAACTGAGGGGGAGCGAGACCCATCAAGTTCTGCCACCCCACTGCCACCGCCACGGTGCCCAGTGCTGGGCTCAGGGCAGCACAAGGCTCTGCCCGGTGCAGGAACATGCTCCTCGCTCCTTCGGAGCAGTCACGTGGCAGCACCAAGGCTTCAGGGTGTCTCTGACTTTACAGCCACCTGGCAGGATCTGCTCAAACAGTGACTCACCTTTCCAGAAAGGGGAAGAGCCATTTCCCAGCCACCGTTCACGAGCAGTCATACAGGTTTATCTCGTGCAAACAGGCACCTGCCCGGCACTGTCATCCCACTTGCATGGAAGGGATCTAATCGTGAGGTGTCCTGCGTCACCCCCACCAGCACGTACAGCCACACAGCACAAGATGGGTGGATGTGCAGGGAGGCTTCAGGTAGCCCCTCTCATTGCAGGGGTTTGTATTTCCCACTCCCGCAGAGCTCTGCACTGAACAAACCCAAGGACAGTCAGAACCCTGGTGGTTGTTGTGCCTGAGGACACAAAATGTTTTAAGAGGAGTTGGAGGGGTATCCTACAGGAGACAAAGGGGTGTCTTGTCTAAGCCCAAAAAGGAAGTATCAATGGGCACTATGGGCTGCTGGAGATCTCACGTCCTCTCAGCAGCCAGGCTCCATGTGCAACTGCCCTCCATCTGTCTCCAAGGTTTCCTCCTTTTCCCTCTTCCGCCCTGTACTCTCTTTCACTCACACTGGGTGACTCTTGCAGAATGAATCAAACACGCGCCAAGGGGCAGAGCGTGTCAGGGAAAGGAGCCACACGCTGATCCCTGCAGCCCTGCAAAGGCAGCACACACCTCCAACATCCCTCCTGCCAGGCACGGGACCTCCTGAACTTCCTCTCTAGAGAATACCATACACAGACAGAGCCCAAAGCACCTCTCTGGAAGGCACAGCTGCCCAAGAAGGGACTAGCTGCCACAAACACTTTGGTAGCTTGGAAAAGCAGCCCATGCCCGAGCTCAATCCACACCAAACCACAAAATCCCACTTGGAGTCAGCAGTGCCCAGCAAGGGGGGAACCTGTGAGCCACAGATCACTTCAGCATGTGCTTCCTGGAAGACAGACCACACAGGACTTCCCAGGCAGGCACCTCCTTCAGGCCCTGGACTTGAGATAAGGGTTTACTGGACAGAGTGACCGGTCTCGCTGCAGGAGGGGCACAACACTCCTTAGGAAGGTTTGTAGTTTCAACACAGAGGCAGCGAGTAACACTTGTGTGTTTTCTTGAGTGAAGAGAAAGCCTGAGCAGATTTCTCTCCCTGCCACTTCTGAACCTGCTCTGGGCAGCCCTGCAGGAAGCGGGGCACACAGAGGCATCCCCACAGTCATGAGCACTTGCCTCCTTAAATAAACAGAGGAGAACAACTTCAGAAAAGAAACAGGCCAGAGCCTGGGGGCTGCATCCTCCAGTGCCCAAATCCCACGTGCTGCAAACAATGGGGATGTCCCTCAGCACCATACGGCTGAGGAATGGGCTGAGGAATGGCTCACGGAAATTACTGCCAAGCTGGGAACTGCTTACAGGAATTGCTGTCCAAGGGGAGCACTGAACCATCACAGGAAGTGACACCGTGACACAGCCCAGAGCTCTGCTTGCAGGAGATCTGAGAAACAGAACATGGCAAAGATGTCAACTCGGCCAAGGGCTGCCTGAGCCTGAGACCAAGTCATTTTGTGAGGAGTTCCACTGGGGCACCTCCATGTGGGAAGACCCTGAGAACCTCGACAGTTATGAAGTGTCACAGGCATCAGTCTTCTCTAAACCAATAACCCTTCCATTAGACTTCCTAAGTTATTCACATCATTAAAATCTATTACTGAGCAATCAAATACCTCCTACTGCATCTAAAGTAGGAGAACGTAAGAGTCAAGGGCTGCATTTTCTGGAAGGAGAATTTGGAGACACAACCAGCAACAACCAGTTGGGGGAAACACTCATGCTCTGATCAAGGTGGCACTGAGCTTGTGAAGGCTGTACACATCTATCAAGCAGGAAAGAATCTGAGGTGTTGCAGCAGACCATGCTAGCGGTATTAATTACCTTTGTTTGTTATTAACTACATTTTTTAAGCAACATGCATTTCTCAGCAACTTCCCCTTCAGCTCCCAGCAGGCACACGGGTGCAGTTACTCACTGTGCTGCACTTTTCTGTATGCCCTGAACAGAAGGTGGTACAAATTCCTTAACACCTGTATTATCCCTGTGAAAACCTGCTGCCACGAGAACACAGCACCCAGGACCCCTAGGGAGGCACCAGCAAGTTCTCTTCCTGCTCCTGCTACAGATCGCACCCCGGGGGCCCCAGCACAGTCACCACAGTCACCAGTTACTGTGATCATAAACACGTCCAGATGCTTTCACATTAAGCCTCTCATCACCCCATGGTGACAGTAAAGTACTGTCACCATGGGACAGTTCCTGGATAATCTCTGGGTCTATATTCAAATGAGAAATCCAGAGGCAAGACATGACTTTGCATGGTTGTGCCCTGAGTGATCCAAACCTCCCAGGTTTACACAAGATGTTCAACCGCTGGATGAGTATTTTGGAGGTCAAGTCCAGACCCAGCACTCAGCCATCTCCTCACCAGTTGCACAATCCAAGTATGCACAAGCCTCAAACACCTCTGAACTAATCTTCCTGGGGAAGGACATCTTACCTTTGGCATGGAAAGTCCACCCGGCCCTCGAGTACTCCTGCAGCTGGACCCTCTCCTGCTGGTGGAGGTAGCAGACCTCACTGTAGAACTGGTGTTCTATGTAAACGTAGGCAGCAGGGATGGCACCTGCCACCCCTTTGGCACCAAAAAACCCATTCACCTCCGGTGAGGCCAGGAGGATCCGATACTCAGCCCTCGTGCCCAAGATGAGGTCCATGTACGCTTGGGTCAGGTTGAAGTAGCCAGTGGTGAGGTATATCCTGGCGTCCCGCTCAGCCTCTGTCAGCAGCGTCTCCGTGACCACCTCATCTATTTGAATCCCAAAAGGTTTCATTTGAATTAAGGGATAGATCCAGGTGTCGGGTTCTGGTTTCAGATCCCTGGATGCTTGAGAGCCCTTCTGGGATAACAAGGAGCTGCCTTGCTGGCTGCTGTGGAAAGTCTTTGCATGAAGGAGCTCTTGCCGGGTCCTGGCAGAGTTGATCACCTCCATGACCTTCCGATTTGCTATCTCACAGTAAGCCACCTTGTCCCCTGCAGGAAAAACACATGACACTGGGTTTCAGACCTAAAGGTACAGACCTACATATCACCTATCATGTAGCAGGAAAAACTACTGATGGGACACCAACATGAGAATATAAAGGAGCTAACACAGAGACCGCACAACTTTCCTCCCCAAGTCTCAAAAACAGATGAAAGTTTCACATTATGTACACACAGAACATCTGGCATTTTACAGCTATTAGTATCAAAACCAGAAAGAACCTCTCAAGGAATTTAAGTTCTTGTTTAAGGTCATCAGCAGAATTACAAACAAGCAATGAGACAGGTACAGGGCCAGTTCTCTCCTCTGCCAGGTGATCTGGTGACAGCCACTGTGCTAGGAACACCCCAAAAGACCCAATCTCAGAACTGGAGCAAACCTGATTCCAGCAATGGGTGTCACAGAAATGGGACACCCTTGAGCCTGGTAACAATGGTCAGACACCCAGCAACCTGCCAATGGATGGAGTTCAACATCCATCAGCTCCAACTGTCACCCCCCTCCTCTGGACCATACCCTCCAACCAGGTAAGAGAACTCCCTCCTACCCTGGTAGGGGTGCACCATCCCCTCCATCATCTGCACTGAATCATCTCGCTGCAATTGCAGGGACACGTCTCCAATTGCATCCACCAGCTCCGTGAAGAAGTCTGCGATCTCAGGAGAGTCCTGCAGGAGAACATAGCGGTCCTGGCGATTGGTGAAGTACAAATCACTCAGGTTTGCACTAGGAGAGAAAAAGAAGAGTTGAGTTCCAGAACTGAGCATAGGCCTGTGATCCTGAACACCTCGGCCCATCACAGATTTCACTCTGAACATAACTTAAATACAAACTGGCCATTTCCTTTTGAATCTTGAGAAACCTTTCTCTTTCCCTTTTGAGAAAGACTCTCTTACACATGAAAATCTCATGTGGCAGAGCTGCGGTTGCTCTTCCATCTCAGAAGAGCATTGCTACAATGACTATGGAACGGCCAGAGGCAGCTATGACGCTCAGACAGTGCTGGCAGCATGCACACCTTGCCTCAACACCTCAGCTAAACGAAGCATGGAAGGGCCTGAAGAGGCAGGACTCACCCGCTGAGGATCACATTATCATCAAAGAGATAGACCTTGATGTGCTGCAGTCCAATGGTCTCATTAAAGCGCTCTGGAATCAGGAGCCTGAGCAGCCCACGCAGATTTGGGGTGTGGAAGAGGGACACACGGACTTGCTCGGGAAATCGCTGCAGCAATGGAATCAGCATCGTCCGGGAATTCTTCCGACCTGGGAGACAAGGGGAGTTTCACAGAGAGGATCTCATCAGCCAGGGGATACCTCATGGCACCACAGCTGGTCACAGCATGAGCACCCAGTTCATCTGCTGGCCCTCAGAGCACCCAGCTCATCTGCTGGCCCTCAACTTGTCTCCATTTCTTCCCTTTCCATTTTATTTCTTTTTCAGTCACTTTCACTTGCACTAGGTCAGTTCTGAAACCCACACTCAGACCTGCACCTTCACTGAGAAAGGGTCCTGGAAACACCACTGAGCAGGTCTGACACCTTCCAAGTTTCTTGATCAAGCCACAACTTGCACAAGTAACACTTGCCAGAAAGAGGCACCACAAGGGTGTACAGCTACTTCTGACAATTTCCACTTTCTTTTAGAAATGAAAATATAAGAGAGCATGTTGGATAAGGGCAAGTGCACTGACAAGTGAACTAAGCAAAAAAGCACAAGCTTCACAGAGCAGAGTTCTGTCATTCTTGCTCCAACCACCTCTTTCAGAAGAAAAGCTGCTCAACTTGAAGATCTTCTGGGCATAAGTAGTTCCTGGTACACAAAAGGCCACTTTTGAGAGGTGTATGATTTAAGCAAGTAGGTCCAACTGGTCAAGACAAACTCTCTCTGAAAAAGCAGTCTACGCAGCCTAACTGTACACTAAGCCTCTGAAGAAAGAAAGCATTGTAACACCTACCCCGAGATCCTCTGGTGTAGTCCAGAAGAATGGAAACTCTGAGGTCAGACGATCCCTTTGCTTGGAAGGATTTCTCCAGTGTTTCTTCTAAGCAATCCACCTGCAGAGAGACATTTCTCTGGTTACAGAAAGCAAATAAAGCTTTATAAAGAAAGCACGCAGCAGCCAGGAGGCTGGTGGCCATGAAAGCTTCCACACCCTGCTAAGAGTCTTTCCCACTCATGCAAATCACTGCTAGTTTAGACTCTGCATCTCTCAGACTGGCACCCTATTCTGTCAGCCTAAAGCAATACATGAAAGGGCATCGATTTTGCATGTGCACATTCTTGAGCCTCTGAAGAGCAATTAATATTAGCAGAAAAATTCCCACCATCATTCCCGAAACACAGGATTTGCAATATCAAGGAGAAACCCTGGAGCGACTCACAAACGGTGCAGAGGCAGCTTCATCCCTTAACTGCAAGGCTGCTTGTCACATGCAAACTCACATCTTGTGTACAAGCCCAGACAAAGCCAGGCAAAGCCCTGGGCAGCCCTTTGTCCACCTTTATCCTGCTGTGGAATCTTCATTCTAGCATGAGAAACCGGCCAAGGTCAGGCTTCTGCCTTAAAGGGCTCACAAATAACACTTTTGTTTCCAGGGGAAAGAACAGGAAACGGAAAAGGTAAACAACATGAAGCAAAGCTGACCTCTGTCTTGAATGCACAGAGCTGCTGCTGCACTTCGGGGGCAGAACACACATCAACTTTGTGTTCAAGAGAAATGTCCAGAAAAACCCTTTACCCCTGATCCCAGTTCCACAAACCTCCTATGGACACTCACAGTAGCTTCTGACAGGCTGGAAAATTCAGGCTAGTTATCCTGTGAGGAAGCTCCATGGCTCTATACTAGGCCTCAAACAGAAACTACATGCAAAAACAACCTCCCTTCCAAATTCCTCCCTCTCCACCCCAAATGCAGCCAGGAACCCTACGAAACTCTCTGGGAGAGGAGAATCCCTGTATCAAAGTTTTCAGGACTTTACGAGCTCACAAACTGCTCCTCACACACAGCTCTTCCACCACAGGAGCGGGATGCTTGTCACAAAGGCAAACACTTCCCTTCAGTCACTTTCTCCCCTTCCTAAACCCCTTCCACACTCACCAGCTCCTGCTCAAGGAGCCCTGTTCCCAGGTAGAGTGAAGCCATCACCACTCGCTGCTTGGCTGATTTTATCTGTACCTGGGAACAGCAGAACATAAGTTAAGGGTCATCCTTGGTCTTGTGACCACAAGTTGCTGTGATTCAGGGCACAGGAGAGCTGCAACTTGGAACCCACAACCTACCTTCAAGAGTTCATAGAATTCAGCTGGGGATGAAAGCACCTTGATATGTGAGCTGGAGATTCCAAACTCTGGAACCAGATTCCCAATCCACTGGAACCTGTGTGCTCCTTCTGGACAGAGGGAACAAGGTGGGGCTGTGATCACAGGAACAGAAGGGGTGAGCAATGGGGCTAGGAGAAGCCATGATGATCTGTGGAAAGAAAGATGGGGAAATTCTTTACATGGAGCCTTCGCTTCCCACAATTAGCCTCCAAGCAGGGAAAGAAAGAGCTGCAACCAGGGCCAGCACAGGACGGCAAGAACACCATTTCCCTTCCTTAACCCCAGCTGAACTCTGAAAGTTCCTCAACAAAATGAAAAAATGCCTCAACCCCTCACATGTATCCAAAAAGAAAGATCCACAACACAAGAAGTGTCTGGCACAAGTCCCAGCAAAAGCAATGAAGTCACAGCACCAGAAGGACCAGGTGATCAAGTGCGTTTCAACAGGTACAAGCCAATAACCACAACTGAGGAACACAGGGCAGCCTGTATAAGGACGCTGCCTGCACTCTGCACAAGGACTAAAAGAGGGTCAAGACTTCCACACACTTCAAAGGAACCGTAAGGGAAACAGCAGGAAGCTCATTCTTTAAAAAGGAATTTCAGAAGAAATTTGATTCATCTGAAGTCACTTTGGGAAGAAACCAACTTACTGCCAACAGTCACGCTGATGGGGGTGGGGGGCAGGGAAAGAAGCACAAGGCATCTTGTCTTCTCTGGAGGCTTTGTGCATGCAAATTCATCAAGTCACACAACAAGCCCTGGCAGGAGGCTGCCCACATGACAAAGCCACATTTCAACACAATTAGCAGCAGCAACTCCCATGAGATGCGGGAATCAGTGAGCAAGGGACTGAACTAGAGACACACTCTGGCCTGCAGGTCCTACTGGCAGGAGTGAGACAGAACCACGCTGCTGGTCTCACCCAGAGGAAGGCTGGATCCTTAGGACCAACAGGCAGCCACCATCCCGTGACCCATCCCCATGTGCCTGCCCCACCACACACCACAAAGAGACTCGCTTACGACCTTTACCAGAATTTGTTACGAGGAACTCTTAGGTTTTACCACAATCCAAAGCCAAAATGACCTCAGATTCCAGGAAGATGATTTCACTCTTTTGCTTCACGATAAAACACTGGATCTTCACAAGGTTTCTGAACACCCTTATGCAGAAGCCACAGTTGGCAGTTGTGTTTCCTGGAAAATCCACTACTTTGTCACTGACTATTCATCACATCAGAAATCTGAGTCAATCCCTGCAAGAATTCCTAGGATGGTGGTTTTCAATGGATCATGTGGACCAGGCTCAGACTTGACACCCACCAGCTGTACAGTTACCAACAGGCTGCTAAAGCAATGGAAATGTTCCACTAATGAGGTCAAAAAGGAGAATCAAAGCAGAAAGAAAATACAAGAAAGACTGGTTTCAGTACATAAATATTTTCTTTATAATCCCACTCGTACATCCTGGCCACGTGCACTTCCAGAAGCCAGTGGCTGAGAAGCCATTCTCTAGAAACGATTCCAAGAAGCCATTTCCAAGAAGCCAAAGAGCATGAAAACCATGAGTGGCAGTGCCCGCGCGTGGTCTGTGCTCCAGAGAGAGCCCCTTCCTGGCTGCTGCCGGTACAACCCGTGAGTGCCACCAGCACCGTTCGTTTTGAGCCTCCAGATTAACCCAACACATGCATGATACCCACTAACTCTGCACTCAAGAGTTTTATTGCCTCCTCACTCTTTGATCTTTTAATCCAACACTGGCATTTCAGACCTTATTCAGTGCTGAAGGCCTGAGGCTTTTATAATTAGCCCAGAAATCAGTATTTTGCTGCAGCCAACAGTAACAATGCGACAGCAACCACCTGCCAAAGCAGCAGCTTCTACCCACCCATCACTGAACTCGTGACGACCCAAACACCACAGGATCCTTCCAGCTGAACACACCCCACAGCCAGGAACCCTGTAACACTATGAAGAAATCACCAAAATTCCACACTTCAACAAACCAGCTTTCAGAGAAACAGAAATGGGGGTGGGGGGAGCCCTTCCCACGTACTCCTCACCACCGAGTTAACTGGGAAGAGAAAACGGAACTACAAGAAACCACCTCGAATCTTTTCTGTGTCAATGTTGACCCTAAATATAAATGAGGGATTTTTTGTGTGTGTTCTATTTTTAAAAGTTGTGGTTTTGGTTCTGAGACTCATGATGGAGCTGAAACACTCCTTCGGTGCAAAACCTCATCTGCAGAACCAACGGTGAAGTGAAACTGCAGGATTCGGTGCTGTCCTTTCACCACACAGACGTTACTGCACCGGGGAACCTGCAGATCGCGTGTCTGAGCTCAGATGTCTCATTCCAGGGCTCAGGCCAGTAACCGATCTACATTAAAAACACCAACGAAACCAAAAGAGAAGCTTGGTAAGAATTTCCTTGGCTTAACAAGAACATCTGGCAGAACATGGGATGAGACAGCAGCAAGGAGCAGAGAGCAGCAGCATGAAGACGTGCTGTGATGCGAGAGGCTGCCCCTGCAGAATGGGTTTAAAAACCCAAACCAAAACACATAACATCTGTCCAGCACTCTCTTACCAGTACAGTGCAAAGTAATGCCTGAAGACTGGGGGAAAAGGCTGGTTTCTGAGCTTTAAAAACTCCAAAGCATTTTGTTTGATCATTTCTGAAGCCAGGATGTGGTTCTACAGAAAAACAATCCCCTCTCGGTATTTAACGTTTTGCTTTTAGCATGACCTGTGCTGAGCCCCACAGAAAGAGGCACAAAACTAAGGCAGCGGCCAACAGGAGAGCAGAAGCAGCTCAGGGGAGATGGAATGATAGAATGATGGTGAGAACACCCCGTGTGCGTGCTTGACAGCTCACCTGCTCCAGCACAACGGTGGCTGCACAGGGAGCGCGGTCCCGGCTCCCCTCACCTCTCTCGCTCAGGCGCAGCCGCAGCGCAGCCGGGCCGAGCCCTGCTCCCACCTCTCTCTCCCTTAGGGCAGGCGGGGGGATCTCGCCTTCCACGGGCAAACCCCAACCCGGGCACAGCCAAACCCCTGCAGTCCCGTGGCGGAGGCTGAGCAGCGCTTGTTGAGAGCCGCGGGGGAACTGAGGCCGCTGCAAGCGAGCAGAGAGCGCAAAGCGCAGCGGCAGGAACGGAACGGGACCGACCCGGCAGGGACAGGAGAAGCGGCGGGTGGGGGGCAACGCTCCCGGGTAACGCAGAACCGGCGCCGGGGGCGCTCAGCGCGGTCCTTACCTGCGAGCACGGCGGTCGCGGCCGCGGGACAGGCGATCCGAGAGGCGGCCGAGCAGCGCGGCCAGGCCCAGGCGGCCCCGCGGCAGCCAGGCCGAGAGCCGCCGCCACAGCGCCGCACCCCCCGCCGCCGCCATCAGCCCCGCGACGCTTCCGCTTCCGGCCGCTACTATGGCGACGTGCCGTCACGCGCTTCCGCTTCCGGCGGCCGCTGCTGCCGCCCGCCCCCCCCGCCGCCATTCAGCGCAGGGCCCCGAGCGGCGGGAGGGGCCGCAGCCGAGGACTGGGGAAGGCCCGGCCGGGGCTCGCTGTCCGGGCCCTCCCTGCCCTCGCAAGGCGCGTCCCGAGCCCCGCGCCAGCCGTGACCGCCGTCGCGGCAGTGTCAGCCCCTCCGGTCACCCACAGCCACCCGTGCCCACGCGACTCCTTCCCGCGGCCGAGCCCCTCGCCTGGGCCGGGTCCGTGCCCGTGTCCGGGTCCGGGTCCGGGTCCGTGCCCGTGCCCGTGCCCGTGCCCGTGCCCAGCGGAGCCCCGCGGTCCCGCTCGCAGCCCCGCTGCGGGGAGCCCGGAGCCACCGCCCCGGCTGGAGCGTCCCGCCCGTCCCTGCACGCGCGCCCCGCGGCCGCAGGCAGAGCTCCAGAGCTCGTCCGCGTCCCGGCCCCTCTGGTTCACCGCAGCCTCACTTCCCAGAAGTGCGCGCCTGGAGTTTATCCCTGACCGGCAGCGCCGGCTCCTCCAGGGCAAATTAAACTGTGTGAAACCGGCGGACAAAGCCGGGGCTGTTTCCCGGGTCCACACCGACAATCACCAAACGAAAATGCAGCGAAACCAGGTGGGGATGGCGGCCCTGGTGCCCCCAGTACCGCTCGCTGCTGCCCTGCCAGGCCCGGGCACCGCAGCGGGGTGCAGAAATCCCTTCGGGACAGAGCCCGCTGCACCGCGGCATTGGGCAAGGGCCGGCAGGGCTGTGGCTGCTCGCCCCCTGCGGATGGGCGCCTGGGCCCCTGTCCTCTGCCGCGGCGGGTGCCAAAGAGCCGAACGTACGGAGCACCCAAGGGCTCCCGGAGCTAGCACTGCCCCCAGCTGCCGGGCACAGGCACCACTGGGGCTACCTCCACCATCCCACAGCCCTCGAGGGCCACAGCTGCCCGGGAGCAAGTCTTCAGGCGGGTGGCCGTCTCCTGGAAGCCCCTGGCACGGCATCGGGGGAGGATCTGCCCCTTATTGTCCCCTTGTGTCAGTAGGGGGGGGGGGTGGGGGGTATTTCGCAGTGCTCCCCTAGGAAGCGCAGCGCTGCTGGCAGCAGCTTGGCACCTTGACACAAAGGCCAGCAATGTGCTGATGCCAGAACCGGTGCACCCCGTCAACCGGGTCCAAACCATCACTGCCTGATCGGGTGCCAAATGGGGGTGCCCCCAAAGACGCGGGGGTGGCTTTGCGGTGCCCTCCCTGGGCCCCGGCATCCCCGGGCCCCAGCTGCAACCGCCCTGCCGGGGGGGGGCAGGGCTCGGGGCAGCCCGTCCCGGCCGGCCACGGGAGAGGAGGGCGCGGAGCGCGGGGGGGCCATGGCCAGGACTCTCCTCTTCTTAGAAGGAAAGAGCGTGGAGGGGAGCGGGAGGGGGCGGCCTCGCTGCCCGGAATGGGCCGGCGGTGGCTGGCGGCGCGCCGAGGCGGGCCGGGCCGGGCGGGGCGGCGGGAGGGCGCCGGGGAGCGTTACAAGAAGCCGCGCAGTTCCAGGAACCCGAGGGCGGGCTCTGCGCCCCCTATAAGAGGCCTCCCCGGGCGGCCCTGGCAGCTCCGCCGCCGTCTGCCGCCGCGCACGGGCCACGCCGTCCACCGCCGAGACCGGCCCCGGCACCCGAGCCCCAGGTACAGCGCTGCCCGCGGCGGGAGGGACGGGACGGGGACAAGCACCGGGAGGGGGCCGTGGGGCCGGTGTGTCCTGCGGGGAGGGATAGCCCCGTACCGGGAATGCCGGTGCCCCCCCCGTCAGGGGCGACAGCCGGGAAGTGGTGATGTCGGTGCTCCCCAGAGAGCGGGATAGCCGGGAATGCCGGTGCCCCGGGAGGGTGGTAGCGGAGGACTTGGGGCGCAGTGACCCTGGAGCGGGTGTTAGCCGGGGGTACCGGTGCCCTGGGAAGGTGATAGCCGAGGACCGGTGGCACGGTGACCCCCGGAGGGGGGGAACCGGGCATGCCCTGGAAGGGCAGTAGCCGGAGGATGGTGCTGCCTGGGAGGGTGATAGCCGGGGATACCGGTGCCCCGGGAGGGCGACAGAGAGGGTCCAGAGCTGCCGGTGCGTCCCTGTGAGCGAGGTAGACGGGGACCGGCAGAAGCGGTGCTCCCCGGCGAGGCGATGCCGGTGCCCTGCGGGGAAGGGGAATACGGGAGCCCGGCGCTGCCGGTGCTCCCGCGAAGGGAACGGGGATCCGGGGGTGCAGAGGCTCAGCGTTATCTCTGCTGCAGGTGATGGTGTAGCAGCGGCTGCTCCCGGCAGCAGCACCCCGAGCACGCAAAGCTGGCTCCCTGCGCCATGGTCACCCACAGCAAGTTCCCCGCCGCCGGGATGAGCCGCCCCCTCGACACCAGCCTGCGCCTCAAGACGTTCAGCTCCAAGAGCGAGTACCAGCTGGTGGTGAACACCGTGCGCAAGCTGCAGGAGAGCGGCTTCTACTGGAGCACGGTGACGGGAGGCGAGGCCAACCTGCTGCTGAGCACTGAGCCTGCCGGCACCTTCCTCATCAGGGACAGCTCAGACCAGAGGCACTTCTTCACCCTCAGCGTCAAGACAGAGTCGGGCACCAAGAACCTGCGCATCCAGTGCGAGGGTGGCAGCTTCTCCTTGCAGAGCGACCCCCGCAGCAGCCAACCCGTGCCCCGCTTCGACTGCGTGCTCAAGCTGGTGCATCACTACATGCCTCCCGTGCCCGAGCAGCCGGGGGGGGCCCTGCACCCCAAGCGCACCTACTACATCTACTCGGGTGGCGAGAAGATCCCTCTGGTGCTGAGCCGCCCGCTCTCCTCCAGCGTCTCCACCCTTCAGCACCTCTGCCGCAAGACTGTCAACGGGCACCTGGACTCCTACGAGAAGATGACTCAGCTGCCGGCTCCCATCAAGGAGTTCCTGGACCAGTACGATGCCCCTCTCTAAGGGGCTGGTGGAGCGAGATCGCATGCTACAAGCACAAGAGCAGGGGACAGGCACAACGCCTCATGGGACACGGCAAGCCTCTCCCTCTGTGGAGGAAAGGAGGGACTGGGGTGAGCCTTGGTGCTGGGGGATACCCCCCCCCCCCCCGAGGAAGTGCGACACCCCCTCTCCATGGAGAAGGAGACTGCTCTGGTCAGAGTGTGGATGTTACAGTGTGCCCAGCGTGGAGGCTGACTCTGTCGGCGAAGCCCCCACGGACTTGGGCAGCCAGGACGGCACCTGCCGTATGGAGGGACAGGCGCCCCGGCAGCCACATCCCCCTTGGGGTGTCCTGGCAAGAGCTCCCCTCTGCCACCAGAGCAGGGAACGCACTGGATCCTGCGAGTGCCTCATCGCTTTTCCTCGGTTTTAAGGGGAAAGTGTTTTTTGCCCATACTGTACTTTACCTCCTGCTGCCTCCTCGTGAGTGGAAGCTCCTTTCACACCAGGCCCCAGACTTGGAGGTTGCTGCCTTTTTTCCCCTCTTTGCCATTTTCCAGGGCACTAAGCCTTAATATTCTCCCTGCCCCGTGGGTCACTGCACATCAGTTGGTGATGCTGTGAGATAACAGTCCTGGTGATGTGCCGAAAAAACGTAGGGGAAATGGTGAGTCCTGAGGCTGCTGAGTCCCACGGAGCACCCCGGGCCCCACCGCTGCTGCCGGACCGTTACTGCACCCACCTCTGCCCGGCTGCTCCAGAGGCACTGCTTCCCATGGGAGGAGCCCCTGGAGTGCATCGTCTCACAAGTGCTTTTCTGTGTCCGCCTGGAGAAGTGGTTGGGTTTTTCTGGCTTTTTTTTACTTTATTTTTTGAACCGAAGGGATGTTTACAGGCCAACGTGAATCACTGTCTTTTATAAAGATTCCATCTTCACCTCCAGCCTCGAGGGCTGAGCAAAACCATGCTTGAAAATTCAACCAAAACAAAACTCAGATGAAACTTTGCACATATTTATATTTATATTCAGAAAGGAAACGTTTCCATAATTTATAATAAAGAGCACTATTTTTTAATGAAAATCCTCAGATCTGGCTCGTTTCCTCCCTTGTGCCCTGAGGCCACTCGGGCCCACCCAGGGTCACCCACCTCCCTACTGGCCTCTGCCCTCGCTGCCGCCAGGATGGTGTTTACACCACGTCAGCACCGGCTTCCTGGAGCCACTGGTGCGGGGTGATCCTGCGGTGACTCAGGCGTGGTGCATCAGTGCTGCTCAGGTACAGCTCAGCCTCGCACAGCTGGGTCCACTCGGGGCTCCAGGAACGTGGTTCAGCCACAAACTGTCCCTGGACTGTGGGACGCAGCCCATGGCCCCGGGCGTGGAGGAGCAGAGCTGGTGGCCAAGGCTGGCCGCTGGCACAGCCCCAAGTGCAGCGCTGGCTCTGCAGCACTTCCCTCCTGCCCCCAGCCCAGTCTGGGGAGGGGAAGGTGGAGGTGGTGTTTGAAGGGCTCCAGGAACAGGGCATGATGTGGGGTGAGAAAAGGGGTTTGTGGTGCTTCTGCTGTGAGCACAGCAGGCTTGGGGCAGGGGGAAGCAGGAAGGCAGAGAGGGTCCTGCCCTCCCCAGCCAGAGTTAACTGCTCCATCCCAGAGCCATCAGGGCTGCCCTGTGCAGAACCCACCCGCCTGGCCTCAGAGCAAGGAGATGAGGAGGGAGAGGATTTCCCTCGGGTGTCTCCTGGCTCCCTACTCCCAGAGGCTGTGAGGGTGTGAAGCAGGCATTGGAATAACCCCTCAGCTCTGTGTGTCTGGAGGGGAGCAATGCCTGGCTGCAGACCCGTGTTTGGGGGGGCATAAGGGAAACTCCTGGGAGGGAACCAGCCCCCCACAAACCTGCAGACCCCTGCAGCAGGGATCAGGCTGTGCCCAGCGCCCGCAGCACCCAGTCCCACACTGGGAGCATCGTGCCGGGCACTGGGCACCGTGCTCCTGCCCAGGGAACTCCAGCCGCTGGGAAAAGGCTTCCCTTAGGAATCACCACGGGCAGAAGGATGGTGATGGCCCCACTCGGGCCGCAGGCACGGCATGGTCCCAGCGACTATTTTGGTGCTGCTGCACGGGGCCGTGGCTGCCAGGAAGCGCCGTGGCCTGCCCGGGCACCCGCCGGAGCTATGTGAGGAATGTCCATGCGTGCGGGTGGCCGCCTGCCAGGCCCTGCCGAGGCACATCCCCGACGTCAGGGCTCCCGGCAGCACCGGTGACTCCCGGCCCCGTGCCAGGGAACAGGGTGGGAGCAGCCCCCAGCCAGTGCCAAGCATCGCTCCCACGGTACTCCCAGCACTTGGGGAGGGACCTGGAGCATCGTAGCTCCCGGCAGCACAAAGCACCGCAGGGAATGGGGAACCCTGGACCCCAGCACCCCCGGCACAGCAATGGCTCTGCAGTACCCCACGGGGGGGGGGCAGATTTGGGAAGCTGCCCTGGGGAGGGTGGTTGAGCTGCCTGTGACAGCACTGACCAACACCCCTGGCCGGACCCCGATCCCTGCAGGAGCACCCCTGGCTTCGCCACTTCCCAGCAGGGCCCCATCCACTGCGTTCAGGGCCTCTCCCGTCCTGCTCTGGCCGTGGCTGCAGCCCACTGCTGAGCCGAGAATCCGGGAAGCTCCGCCAGCCCCACGGCTTTCTTGGAAGAAGCCCAGGCGCGCGGCAGCGCTGACGCAGCGGCCAGCGGCAAATCCCTGCCCCGGCTTTCACAAACCTCCCGCCTTCCCCACAGGAGCCGAGTGGACTTGGCCCCGGGTTTCATGAGCGCCTGATGGAGTGTGTCATGGGCTGCCAGTTCCTCTCAGCCGCTGAGCTCACCCGAGGGGGCTCCCTGCCTGGGGAGCGTGTCCTCGGTGCGGATTAAACCCTGTCACTGTGGTGGTGCTGGGAACCAGATGGGAACTGATCCATGAGCACAGGGGGCTGGGAGCAGGGCTGGGGCACTGTGGTCCGGCAGCTCCCCCCCACCCTGTGTCCCCTGGGGCTGGGCACCAGACGGGCACAGGAGGCTGCCCACCGAGTGGGACAGTAACAGGGGACGTCCTGCGCTAGGCTTGCCTGCCCAGGGAGACACAGAGCAGCCACCAATGCTTCCCACCACACTGCTGGCTTGTTACTGGCATGAGAAGGAAGTGCTGCTGGGACGGCAAACCCGAGCCCTGTGGGGTCAGGGGGTGCAGGAAATCTGCTCTGGTGTGTACCAGCATCTGCAGACCCAAAACAGGAAACAACTGCAGCCTGTGGTAGCTGCAGGCAGCGGTGTTCAGGGGGGCTCGGCCAGGGTCTGCTGTGGGTACCCAGCCACACGGCAAAGCACATCTGGACACAGCCAGGGCCATCCCTGGGGAGCAGAAAAGAACCAGAGGCACCCAACCCCCACCCCGGGACCCACAGATGCCCCTGGTGTGAGGGAGCATCCCACTCCCTTCATGGGAGCAGTGGCCATGCCAGAATGGGACCCTCCTGCTTGGAGCACTTTTGTCCCTGGGCCACACTGGGTCCTTCCTGGCGGGATGTGCAAGCAGGGCAGACTGCACTGCAGGCACCAGCCCCATGCAGCATGGGACAGAGCAGCCGTGGGACCAGGCACGACCCACAGCCTGCAGCAGGACAGAGGTGGCCCCGCATGGCCACCACCATCTCCTGTCCTGCCACCCAGGACTTGGCGGTCACCCAAGGGTGGTGGCAGCGAGCGGCAGCACCGGCAGCAGTAGGGCCAGGCAGGGAGCTCGCTGCGAACACCCTGACCCCATGTCACACCCTCACGCACTTCCTCCTGCCCCGCTCTGCAGCTCCAGGACGTTCCCACATCCACCGCCACCTTTCCCAGTCAGATGCAGGAAAGGGCTGTACAGCAGTCGGGGACTTACTGTAAACGGCACCACCTGCTCCTTACATAGCAATTCCTCTGCGAGCCAGGCCCACAGGGATGGTTGGGAACAGGGACTGAGACATCTGCTCCACGGAATGCTGCTGGGAAGCACGAGCTCGGGCTCTGCGGCACAGCCCAGGGCTGGCGTCAGCTGCCTGGGTGCAGGAAAGGGATGGGGACGGGTCCCTGTTCTGGAAGGGGAGCCGGGATGTGCAGCCCTGCAGATGCATGTCCCTGGGGCCTGTGGGATCCCTCTGGTCCCACAGCATCCCCTCACCTCGCCCTCTGCCCTGGGCAGGTTCACATGCCCTGTGGTGTGCCACAAGGCCCCAGCCCCAGCTGGCTGTAACACATCCCATCACTGGTGCAGAGGTGGCAGAGCCTTGGTGACCGGTGGACCTGCAGGGGCTGGCCTGCCCCCCTACATCGTGTGCCTGGCTCGGGCCCTGGCTCTTCCCAGCCCGGGCAGGCAGGGAGCACAGAGCAGCAGCAGGACCCTGTGCCCAGGCCAGGGTGTATTTTGGGATGCAGGCGAGCCCAGAGGCCTGTGTACATCCCCATGGAAACCCCGCTCTGTTGCTGCTTCTCCAGCCAGACCATAGTCATCCCGCAGGGAGCCAGCCGCTGCGGATTCCTCACTCTTTCCGTCAGCAGCTCAGCGGGGCTGCGCTGCCCTGGCTCCCCCGCCCCAGCCACCTCCACCGGCTCCCTGCTCGCGGGGGTCCCGCTGCCTGTGAGGGGCCCGGACCCTTCACCCGCCCCAGGGACCCTGCGAGGGAGCAGCCGCTGCCCCTGCCCCTGCCCCGCAGCTGGGGCCGCCAGGCTCAGTCCTGCACCCTCCGACCACCGGCGCGGGCAGAGCCCTCCCTGCCCACACAGAGGAGGAAGGTCCAAGGGGAATCCCCCCCCCGCAAGTTTCCTCAACCCCGGAGGAAGTTTTCATCCCGGCAGCGGCTGCCGCAGCCCAAGGGAAGTCCTGACATTTCAGAGAGGGCTGCAAACAAGGCCACGCTGCTGCGGCAATGGCAGCCGCAGCCCCCCCCTCCTGGACCTCAGCTGGGACACAGCCAAGGCGGAGAAGCAGCAGCCCGGTGCCGGGGGCGCTGGGTGGATGGATGCTCCCGGCAGCCCCGGCCCTGCTCCTGCGCCAGGGGAGAGGGTCCTGCTGCCAAACAGTGCCTGTGCCATGCCCGGGACAGGCTGTGGGTGCCAGCACATGGGCAGGCCCCATCCTGTGCCCTCCCTGGGTCAGCCCCCTCCTGCCCCCAAGCCAGAGAGCCAGGTCTGGGTCTGGGCCACTCTTGCACCTGCATTCACGGGGAGCAGTGAGGCACTGACCACCACTGTGGTCACTGCTGGCACGGGCACACCAGTGGCACAACACGGGAGGTCCCCGTGGGTGCTCCAGGCTGCCAGCTGCCTTGGGTGTGCTTGCCCGGCACAGTGCAGAGTCCTCGCATGACCTCAGCAGAGCAGCCATGGGCAGGTGCCAAACCCCAGCCCTGGAGCATCCCTTGGCCTCGTATCAGCCCTGGCTCAGCCCCGGCGCAGCAACAGCAGCAGCAGCAGCAGCAGCAGCAGAAGCATTGCTGCACACCCAGCTGGAGATGGGGCTTCAGGACATGGAACCCACATCTGTGGGGTGGGTGCTGCTGTTCCCTGTCCAGCTGTGTGCCCTAGCGCACAGTGCTGGGGACCCAAAGGTGCCCACAAGGGCTGTGCCTGTCCCACGGCTCCTGGGTCCCATCAGCAGGGAACAGCTCCTCAGCCAGGCTGGTGGCGATGGGTGATGGCAGCACCACGATGGGCAAGGATGGGGCATGTGACTGGCAGAGGGCACAGCTGGAGCAGATGTTCCCTAGAAGGACTCAAGGGCCCTGTTTCAGCATTTAACGAGTGGGAATGGGAGCATTTTACTGTAATTCCAGCAATTACATTGTTCATCCTTGGCAGCCGGCACCAGCTGGTGTCCAGCGCCGTGGGATCACGAGAAAGCCACCTGGCAGGGAGGCTTGGCAGTGCACCGTGCCACCGGGCAGCCGGCCAGGGCAGGGCAGTGGGAGCTGCTGAGCGAGGTGTGAGGTACGGGAAGGGCCCGCCCCAGCGTTCCTGTCACTGGCACGGCCCCAGCCACAGGTGCCACCCGGGAGGGCCCCAGTGCCTG